CTGTCCCTCTCAGACAACCTGGCAAGCTACCGAGAGTATCCTGCCTGCACGGCAGAGCCTGGCAAGCTTCCCGTGGTGTATTCGATATGCCAAAAACAGTAGCAACAAGTCTCACAATGGAGATATTACTGGTGCCCACTCAAGCAAATGGATGAATAACTGGAGGACAGTGCTACAGTGCAGTGCTACAGTGCTATTAATGCCAGATGAGATTTCTTTATTATAGGAAACCAATTTGTATTTCTCCCAGGAGAATTTTATAGGCCATGAATTTCTTTCTCATTTGTTTGTTTGGGGACCCCACCTGGCAGTACCCAGGATATTCCTGGCTCTGCACTCCAGAATCACTTCTGGCAGGCTTGGGAAACCATGTGGGATGCCAGGGATTGAACCCAGGTTGGCCACAAGCAAGGCCAATGCCCTTCCCAATGTATCATCTCTTCGGCCCCTCTTTATCCTTTCTCTGAAGTTTGTATCTTTTATTCCTTTGGATTTAAATGATAACTTAGCTAAACAGAACATTTTTGGTTGGTGGTCTTTTTAATTCAGTATTTTGCAGACATCACATATTTTCTTCTGGCCTAAAAAGTTTCCGTTGAGAAATTTGCTGTGAATCTAATGAAGGTCCCAAAACGAAAGTTTTCTTTTATCTCTGCTCTCAGGAGTTCTGTTTCTATATGTGGCTTTGCCTTTTTCCATGTGTCTTGATGTTAGGCCACTTAGATTTGTTTCTTTTGGAACTCTTAGCTTCCTGGGTCTGGATATATCTCTCCTACCTCAGATTAATTAATCAACTATTATTTCTTTAATAAAGATTCTTCCCCTTACTCTCTGTCCGTTCCTTCTAGAACCTGTGTAATGCAAATATTATTTCTTTTATACTGTCCCAAATATCTCTTATGTTTCTCAATTTTTTTAATTTCTCCCTTTTTATATTTTTATTTAATTAAAGAACTGTGATTTGGGGCTGGAGTGATAGCACAGCAGGTAGGGCGTTTGCCTTCTACACAGCCAACCCGGGTTCGATTTCCAGCATGGTCTTCTTAGCACTCCAGGAGTAATTCCTGAGTGCATGAGCCAGGAGTAACTCCTGTGCAACACCAGATGTGACCCAAAAAGCAAAAAAAAGAACTGTGATTTACAAGGTTATTGGTAGTTGAGTTTTAGGCATATAATACTTCAACACCAATCCCATCACCAGTTATAGCTTAGATCTCATGTTTTTAGTGTTCTTGAGCCTGTGCTTGGATTTATGACTACACCACAGATCCAAACCACCTGAATAACAGAAATCCTGACACCTGTTCTCTACTTGACCCTTTGATTTGTTTTCTTCTCTGTCCCTCTACTCTCAAAACACTGGGGTCAAGAGTGACATAGGTATCCCCCTTTACTGTAATACATTTCCTCATCCAATATTCTGTAAACTACAAATAAATGAGATCATTCTGTGTTTGTCTATCTTATTGTCTGACTTACTTCACACCTGGATAGTTTCAACCAGGTTGCAACAAATTGCATAATTTCATCGATCCTTGCAGCTGCATAGTCCAGTGACAGATGAATGGATTTTTTCTCTTTTAATATACCCCCTTGCTTATACTCAAGCTCATTGATTTGATCCTCAACTTCTGACATTATGCTGTTGAGCCCCTCTGTGTTTTTTAGTTTGATTACTATTGTATTCTTTAATCCAGTGATTTGTTTGGATTTTTCTAATACTTTCTCTCCTTGTTGAATTTACCCTCTATTTATTTCATGTTGGGATTGTTTATTTTCAGGGGGTTTAAAAGTCTCTGATGTGCTCAGGACCTTCTTGGACTTTTTTTTAGATTGAATCGCCTTGAGACACACAGTTACAAAGTTGTTCCTGCTTCGGTTTCAGTCATACAGTGTGCCAACACTATTCTCTTCGACAGTGTACACTTCCCACTACCAACGTTCCTAGTTTCCCTCCTGTCCCCCAGCCTACCTCTATGCTCTATGGCAGTCACTTTTCTTCTTTCTCTTCTCTCTCTCCCTATCTCTCTCTCCCCTTTTGTGCATTATGGTTTGCAATACAGGTACTGAAACATTATCATGTTGTTACTTTACCTACTTTCAGCAAAGCTTACCTTCTTGGACTTATAAAATCTTTATCCTTCAATGGGAATGAATTCCTTCATCTCTTCTTTGTTCTTGATGCATGTGAGGAGGTTGGTAAGGGTGAGGGTTGTATTTGTAAAGACTGTTTAGGATTTATGCTCTCTAATTCCAGACTGACCATAGCTCTGAGTTTGTGTATCTGTGAATTTGTAATAACAAGGGTCCCACAGCAGCTACTGCACTGAGGTCTAGCAGATCAATACTATGATCCTATGTTCACAGATGATGCTGGTGCTTGATATTTGGCAATGATATTGAAATTTAGCGAGCCCGAACAGTGACTGGGGCCGTAAGGTCACAAGTGCTTAATAACAACTATGGCTGCTAGCAGGCTTACATAGCAAACGTGGGATTTTCATTTTCAGTACCCGGCAAAACCTGTATTGCCAGCATCAGGCAGACCTGGTAAGTACCCTGTGATACGGCACTGCAGTATCAGTGCAAGATCTTTGACACCAATTTTGAACAGACCTGAGCTGCAGCAAAAGTTCTAAATCATGTGTATGCACCAGGTCATCAGTGCCTGGCAGCCTCCAGACTTCTCTGATTTGGTTACACAGGTCTGGTAATCTCTGGGGAGTTAAGCTTCGGTTTCAGAAGAAGCTATAATCTCAGTTACAGAGCATGTCCTCTAGGACTGAAAGAGGGTATAATATATAGTATGGGAAGGGACTGCCTTGCTAATTGACTATGCTTTGAGAAGTTTATGGGTGATTTCTTATTCTAGGTATTCATTCAGGCTGCCTGCTCTCAGTCTGATATGGACTGTAAGGAACTAAGTTTCTTTGGCCTGTTATAAGCAAATGTTACTTAACCTTTTGTTGCTCCAACCTTAACTTCAAAGGGGTGTAGCTTTCCCCATGAATTTGATTAAATGCCAGTCTTATGGACATAACCTTAAAAGGTTTGGTTTTTGTTTTGTCTTGCTTGATTTTCTCATTGCTTTTAGACTTTTTCTTATCTTTGGTTTTTGCTATTTACTGGTCTTTTTGTATTGTTGTTGCCTACTTTATCTTCAAGTACATTATTTGAATTTTTGTTTTCTTCCGTTATGCTGTTGATCCCCACTCTTGTTTCATCTTTATTTAAATTTCTGTGTTCCTTAGTCTGTAATTTCTGCTTCATATTTTCTCATCTTTGCTGAATTTCTCTTCCATTCATTTCTTCATTTCATGCATGGGAGCTGTTGTTTTTGAGCACTTCCTCAAGCAGCTTGCATAGTTCTGCTGTACTCTTTCCAGGCTGTTGTCTTCATGCATTGGTATAGGAGAGTCCTCCTTCTCCCTTTATAGAACTCCAGTAAGGCCTATCTGGAGGCTAGAGAAATCTTTTTCAAGTGGCTAATATGGACAGTGTCTAATGTTTCAGTTGTGTCTGTGTCAATCAGAATGTTCCCAAGACTTAGTCATGGGTACTGTGGTAGCACTAGTTTCAAGCAGCAGTAATGTTGACAGGAGATTTCAGAGTTCCTAGTTCCTAATGCTAGCTGTGGCACCAGGTTCAAGGATGCATGGTAGTGACTGAGTAATTCAGGGTCACCTGTACCTACCAATTACTGAGATAATAACTGTACTGCAAAGGGTGAAAAAGCTTTCTGTTTTAAGTATCTAGCTACCTCAGTAGCTGTTATGGATCCCTGAAAAGGTAGGCCTCAGCCCTAGCTCTTTAGCAGCACAGTCATTCAGGAACTGACTGGTGGCACAGTCTTTCTGGGTGTGTAGCAACAATCTACCAAAAATCAGCATTGCTATAACAGTTGCTCAGCAGCACCTATGTTCCAGCCTACAACAGACCTATGCAGCAACCAGGGATGTGTCTTTTGACTGCTAATTGGGCTGTATGCTGACCAGCACTTTTTAGGTTGCTGATGTTCTATATCTACCTAACTGTAGGACAGAGAACTGGATAGAGCTGGAGATTCTATGCAGGGGCAAGTTAATGAGAAGCCTGGGACTTCAGCCCCATCTAGTTACAAAGCTCATGCTCCAGCATTGGTTAAATGCAGAGACTGGCTGTGTGCAGGGTGGCCCCTCAGACAGTAGAATTCCATGTGAGATTGGCAGAGTGCTTTCTGTCTATGAGTGTGCAACTTGCTTGCTAGCAGTCAAATGTGGGCTGGCAGGGTTAAATACATTTGTCAGAAGCAAGCAGGCAATTTCAGTATGTTTCAGGAATTTGTCCTCAAGGCTGTTGCTATAGTGATGAAAACTGAAACAGTATCCAATAGTTTGCTGTCATCTAAATTGTGAGAGATTTTCAGGATGGTCCCCACCCAGGGCTCTGATGCCATTTTTATGCCCTTTATTTTCTTGCCTCTAGAGCCCATGCTGATGTGTAGGATCATGCCAAACATTTAGTGCAACCCCTGTCCTATAAACTAGAGTAAGATTTCATACCTTAGAAATTTCCTTTAGATGATAGTTTGTTATTACAGAAACCTCTCTCACCTTCCTCATCCATCCATCTTTCTTTCTCATCATTCTTTGGTGCTGTTCCTTCCATCCTTACTGCAAATCATTGTTCTTTTAGGTTGTTCTGTGCAGATTCATCCAGGTTTTAAAGTATTTTTGTTGATATCAAAAAAGGAAGCAAACATATGTTCTCCCCATTTTCTCTTTCATTTTGAAAAGATTTCTTGTGTGTGTGTGGATAGAGAGGTCTTATAACAGTATAATACACATTCCTTATCTTTTAGTAGCTAACATGAGTTGTGGTATTTTTTCTTTTTTCTGATTTCCAGTAGAAAACCAATAGGAAGAAATAATATGAACAGAAAATAACAGAAAATAAATATACACATAGTTCACAAAGTTCTTTAGCATATATTGTAACAAAATCTTGATTCTTTCTTTTAGACCAGAAGATCAATTCAGAAGTTGCTGGAATGGGAAAATAACAGATTATATCATAAGGTAAAAACATTTAAAAATATGTGTCCATTTATATATATGCATTATTAAACTAAAGAAGTGGAATTTTCTCAGGCCACCAAAGAATAGATTACACTCAGGGCTGGAAAGATAGTACAGTGGGGAGGACTCTAGCCTTGCATGTGGCCAACCTGGGTTCCGTCCCCTGAACCCTGCCGGGAGTGATCCCTCAGAACAGAGGAATGAGCCCTGAGCACTACTGGGTGTGCTCCCCACCCCCCAAAAAATAATAGATCATACTCTGCTTTTTAGTATATACTCTTTACAACACGAAAAGATTTTCTGTGCTATCTTTTTTAAACAGCAAACATGAAGTTCAGGACACAAAGTAAAATTATTTGCATTTTGAAAAAAAAGTAAGTGATCCAAGATCATGATTTTTACCTATTACTGGCTGAGGGACCTTCTCCTTCCATGCCATTCCCTACTTCCAAACCTTAAATCATTTTTTTCATATTTAACCTCTATGATTAGGCTCGCACTCAGATACTCTGAGGACCAGAACAGCTTATAAATACAATCACTTTCACCTACCTTTCAAAAGTAATAGTGATACGCATATGCTGGGGGAGAAGGCAGCTCAGATAGAGAAGGGAGTACCAAATAAAAGGTGTTGGGAGGATCCTCCCAGGATGAGAGATTCATCCTGAAAATAGACTATAGACCAAACATGATTGCCACTCACTACACCCAAAAGGAGAGAGAGAACAAGCTGCCACAGCGGTGAGGTGGGAGCGGGGAGGGAATGGGAGGGGTTCTGGGAGCATTGGAGATGGGGACTAGGCACTGGTGGACGGGTGGGTACTCAGTCACTGTATAACTGAAACCCAAGCACAAAAATCTGTAAGTCTACAACTGTAACTCATAGTGTTTCACTAATAAAAATATATATAAGTAATAGTGATAGTACAGTGGGTAGAGCATTTGCCATGAACACAGTCATCCTGGTTCGATCCCTGATATCCCATATGGTCCCCCAAATCCCACCAGGGATTAGTGGTGGTGGAGAATGGGCACTGGTGGAGGGATGGGTACTCGAACATTATATAACTAAAACCCAAGCACAAAAATTTGTAAGTCTAAAACTGTACCTCATGGTGTTTCACTAATAAGAATTTAAAAAAATATATGATAAGCTATTCTCAAAAAAATTTTTTTTCTTTAGTCACAAAAAAACCTTAAAATATTAAAGCTTGGAGCTGAAGTGATAGCACAGCGGGTAGGGCGTTTGCCTTGCACGCAGCCAACATGGCCGACACAGGTTCGATTCCCAGCACCCCATATGGTCCTCTGAGCAGCACCAGGAGCAATTCATGAGTGCATGAGCCAGGAGTAACCCCTGAGCATCGCTGGGGCTGACCCAAAAAAAGCAAAAAAAAAAAAATATATATATATATATATATTAAAGCTTTTTGTCTCCAAAGTCAATTGTTTTCATGTCTTGACACCTGTGCCATAAAAGTGATAAAAATAGTAAATTCTTTTAGAGCAAATGATGAGGGTTTTTTAATATATTATTACCTGTGAAATTGATAATCATAATTTTATTGAAGTAACATTGCATTATAACACCATGAAACTTTCAAGTACACGTCAGTTAAAAATCAGCATTATGTATTAAGTTCAACACTAAAAGTCCAATCTATACTATACATGCATGTGCTTTGTTCTTATTTACTTCTCCCTTCTCCTTTGTCTTTTGCTAACTACTAATTGGCTTTATAGTCCAAATCTTATGTTCATTCTATTTATATCTCATCTGTTTCTTTTCTCTTCATATGCCTTATGTGAGTGAAGTCATATATTTGTTTTTGTGCATCTGATTTATTTCATGAAGCATAATACCCTCTATATACTTGAATACTGTTGCAAATAACAAGATTGTCTGCTGAAAATTTGGGTATGCGAGTTTTGCAACTGAAATCTCCAGACTTTCTCAGAGTTGAGATGGGCTACCTCCCCCCACTTCCTAATACTTCTGGAATTACTACTGGCCATCACCCCAATAAACCAACTCCAGTGCCACCATGTAAGCTCTACTACCGGCCTTGCTTCAGAGACCCATAAATAAATCTCAAAAGAGATCAAAAGTCGCAGTTAATTTCGGACCCATGCATGGCTGAACAGACTGAGGTAAATCGGAGAGGAGTGGGTTCGTCTGGGGCCAGCCCAAACAGCCCCCAGCAGCTGCTTGCTCCCACAATCCAAAATCACTGCCATACCCCTGGCCTGACTCCACCATCTCAGGACAGATCTCAGTGAAACATAATCTGCTGAAAATTCTGGTATGAAGATTTTGTGACTGAAATCTCTAAGCTTTATTGGGGTCAAGGTAGGCTACCTCCCCCACCTCCCTGTACTTCCAAAAGCCTCAGTAGTCATATCCACACCCCAAAGCATCCACCCAATTGAAAAGCTACTCTAGCCTTATCGTCCCAATAAAAATACTGAATGCCCTGAGCAAAAACGATGACCTCTTTGCACCTGTATTGCAAACCCTAATGCACAAAAGGAAAAGGAGAGAGCAAACAAGAAAGAAAGTGCCTCCCATGAGGGAGGCTAGGGGTGGGGGTGGGTATTGGGGGGTGGTGGGAGGGAAACGGGACATTGGTGGTGGGAAATGTACACTGATGGAGGGATGGGTGCTAGATTATTGTATGACTGAAACCCAATTATGAATAGCTTTGTAATGGTCTATCTCACAGATATTCAATTAAAAAATTTTTAAGTAAAATAAAAGTAAGGTGAAGTTCATGCCCAATTCAATCAATGGCTGAATAAATAGCAGTACTGCTACATTTTAAAAAAAATAACAGAATTGGTTTTTTTAATAACTGAATAATATTCCATTGTGTCCGACACCCTCCTTACCATTCATTAGTCATTGAGAATTTAAGTATTTTTCCAGTTCTTGTTTTTTGTAAATAATGTTGCAATAAAAGTTTTTGTGTTTTTCAGATAAACAAATAGGGCAAATTAATTTTATATAGGATTTCTACTTTTAATTTTTTTAAGGAATCTCTATCCTATATTCATAATGGCTACACTAATTTATATTACCAGCAATAGTATATAGGGTTCCCTTCTCTCCCCTCTTGTTTCTTGTATTTGGGATTATACCCATTCACACAGGTGTGAGGTAATATATCATTGTTTTTTTCCATTTCATTTCCCTAATGATAAGAGATGATGTATGATTTTTTTATGTGCCTATTGTCCATCTGTATGTTTTCTTTGGAAAAATGTTCAGAGCTTCTCCCCAAGTTTTAGTCAGATTGTTTTTCACTTACTAAGTTTTATAAGTTCTTTGTATAGTTTATATGACTTTGTCAGCCATGTGATATGTGTATATTTTCTTCCATTCAATAAGATGTTTCTTTGATGCGGCTGTCACTCTGCAGGTGCTTTTTACTTTCCTGTGCTCTCATTTCTCTTACCTTTGGAATCAAGTCCCCAAACACATTTCTAAGGCTGATATCAAGGACCCATAATTTCTATGTTTCTCCTGTGTATTTTATGGTTTAGGTTTTACTTTCAAGTCTTAATCTATGTTGATTTAGTTTTTGTCTATGGTATTAGATCATAGTCTAATTTTATTCTTTTGCATGTAGCTATCCACTTTCCCATCACTGTTTATTGAAGAAACTTCTTGCTTCATCATAGGCTTTTGACTACTTCAGTGTGAATTAGTCATCCATATATGTGTGGTTGTTTTTCTGGACATTGACTTGATTGTTATATTAAATAACATCACCATTTTAATGATGTAAATTCTTCCAGTCTATGAGGATGAAATCTCTTTTCTTTTTTGGTTGCTTCTTTTTTGTTCGGTGAAAAAAAGAGATTAATAATTAATTAAAAGTTTTTCTGTGGTCACTGTCACTGTCACTGTCACTGTCCTCCCATTGTTCATTGATTTTCTCGAGTGGGCCCAGTAATGTCTCCATTGTGAGACTTTGTTGTTACTGTGTTTGGCATATCAAATACGTCATGGGTAGCTTGCCAGGTTTTGCTGTGCAGGCGAGATACTCTCAGTAGCTTGCCGGGCTCTCTGAGAGGGGCGGAGCTATTTTTTTTAAATAGCAGACATGAATTTTTCTTTATGTTTTTAAAGCACAGCCGTAGCTGTGCATGCCAAGGTCTTTCACTTCTTTGGTTAAATTTACTCTAAGATACTTTATTATTCTTAATGTAAATCAGATTGCTGTACCAATTTTTATTTGTTTGTTCGTTATTCACATATAGAAATGCAACTGATTTTTTTTATTAAATCACCATGAGATACACAGGTACAAAGCTGTCCGTGATTGGTTTTCAGTCATATATATAGTGTTCCAACACCTAACTCTTCTCTCTCTCGCTCGCTCTCGCTCTCTCTCTCCCTTCTCCACTTTCAAACACTGGTTTGCAGTACTGTTATTGAAAGGTTAAAATGTATATTACTTTTCCTCCATTTAGCACTCAGTTCTTGTCCAGAGTGATCAGTTATCATTGTCATAGTGGTCCCTTCTCTGTCCTAAGTGCATTCACCCACAAGTTGTAGCAAGCTTTTTACCATGAACTTATCTTCCTGGTCTTCATTTCTTCTCTCTTTGTGTATTATTCTCATACTATATTTTTACATCATGCAAATGAGTAAGATTGTTTATTCTCTTTCCCTGTGACTCATTTCATTTAAGCATGATACTCTCCATGTTTATCCATGTATAAGCAAATTCATTTTTTTTCCTACTGGCTGTGTAATATTCCATTGTGTAGATGTACCATAGTTTCTTTATCCAGTTATCTGTTCTTAAACACTTGGTTGTTTCCAGATTCTGAATGTTGTGAATATTGCTATGGTGAACATAGAAGCTCAGGTGGCTTTTCTGCATTGTGCTTTGGGGCCCCTAGGGTATAGTATTAAAAGCTCTGTTGCTGAGTCATATCTGTAGGTCTCAATTTCTAGTTTTTGAAGAGTGTCCATATCATTTTCCACAAAGGCCAGACCAGTTGGCATTCCCACCAGCAATGAATAAGAGTCCCTTTCTCCCTGCTTCTGTGCCAGCACAGGTTGTTCTTGTTCTTTTTAATGTGTACCAATCTCTGTGACATGAGATGATTTCTCATTGTTTTGATTTGCATCTCCCTGATAATTAGTGATGACAATAGATTTTTAAATATTGATTTGTAGCCTGCCACTTTTCTTATGTTTCTTGTTTCTAGTAACTTTTTTGTTGGAATCTTTGAGATTTTCTATGTATATTGTCATGTCATCATCAAATAGTTTTACTTCCTCTTTTACAAGTTGGATTATTTTGTATTCTTTTCTTATATAATTGTTCTTGTGGGAGCTTCCAAAACTATATTGAGTAGAATTGGTGAGAATGAGAACATATCCTTTGATTTGTTTTGATCTTAAAGAAAATATTTTCAGGTTCTCACCATTGATTATAATGTTAGCTATGGACTTTCTGATATATAGTAACCTTTACTATCTTAAGGTGCGTTCATTCTGTACCCATTATGTTGAGAGTTTTTATCATAAATTAATATTAAATCTATAAAAAATAAATGTACTATGTAAATTCCATATTAAGTTCTGTAATTTACAATATTGATAATGGAAGGATTTCATGCATCAGATATTCCATCACCATACCCTTCACCAGAGTGTAAGTTTCCATCTACCATTGTTGTCAAGATATGTTTCACTTATTTATTTGTTTTTTGAGTTTTGGGGGCCACACCTGGTTGTGCTCAGGGCTCAGGGTAAAGCAAGCACCTTACCTACTATACTATATCTCTTGATCCCAAAATTTTGAAATGCTGTTTTCACTTCTTGTTTATTTACTTGCTCCTGTATTATTTCATTGATTTACTCAAATGTATAGGTAATCATTATAAATTGATAACAAATTTTAATACACTTTCTTTAGCTTGCTTTGCACTGGAAGCTGACTAAAAGGAAATGTGAAACTAGCAATATGATGGAGTATGTAAGTATGCAGTGGTTTTTAATTTAAATTTTTTATACTTTTCTAAATGTTACATTGTACTTTGTTTATCCTTTGTTACACCTTCTTAGTTTTTTTTTTTTTACAGCCTAAAAGTTTTCAGTTTTAACAGTGAGGAGATTTTTTTCACCTTCTTTATATTTACAGCCAAAATAAAAATATCTTGAAAGGTAGCAATTACTCAGATACAGAAAAATCTTAGCTAATATGCTCAGATGAAGACATTGCACAGTTTTTATCTTCTTTTAGTATAGATATATGCTATCACATATTGTGATGGGCATAGCTTCTGTTGAACAAAATATTTCTAATAATATAATCTTATGAGACACTAGCAGAAAATGGAATTAACTTAATTTATAGATACATATGTCTATCTGGCTTTTCTTAGCTGATATTTAACCTTTCTTGGTTTGGTTTGGTTTGATTTAGTTTTTGGTTTGCAAGCCACATCCAGCTCAAGGCTTGCTCAGAGAACATTCCTGGTGGGGCTCAGAGAACCATTTGCCAGAGATCAAACCCAGGTTGGTTGCATGTAAGGCAAGCACCCTACCTGCTATATTATCTCCCCAGTCCCTGATATTTAACTTTTCTGAAGAACTATATGTGCTTTTTTTACTGGAAGCTATGCGATCTTTATTATAAATGTTCATATGCCCAGTATGATAAGTTCAGCATCTTCAGCATTCAAAAGATACAAAATTTATCCAAACTGAAGTTGCTAACATACAGTATACATTTTATCACAAATGTTCTATTTCAGTTTCATGAATGAGGATTATTTGATAATTCTTTTCACTTTTAATAATTTTGTTTGGTAAGCCACATCTGTCAGTGCTCAGGAGTTATCCCTGGCTCTGAGCTCAGAGATCATTCCTTTCGGGCTTGAGGGAATTTATGGGGTTCCCAGGAAAGAACATGTATCAGTTGCATGCGAGGCAAACCTCTAGCCGCTGTGCTAGCACTCTGGCCCATCACTTTGAATACTTTTGGGGGAAATGTTCAAATGACTACAAATCTAAAACACTGTAACTAGAGAACCTCACATAATCTATTACAAATTTATATATTAATTTTATATCAATGTCTATAAGTTTATAAGTAGGTTATTATTGTATTTACAAACCTGTCTTTATAAAAATGTCAAAATCCACTTAAGTACTATTATTCATAAAAACCTATAAAAGATGGTAATAAGCAACCAATATAAACTACTTTAATTGAAAAATATATATGATAAGTATTCTTTCTAGTCTATATAATACAACTTTAATCACTTCTGTTCTTTTAAAATAAAAAGGGAAGGGAAGTGGAGAAGAACATGATAATCGGGTTAACTTTTCTGCACCTAAAAAGTACTGTGAATCAGATAAAAAAAAATCTTTTAGCTACTCTAAGACATTACGTTTGCCAATTTAACTTGATTGCCAAGCTAATGATAACTTTTTGTAACTTAAAATATATTTCACTCATTTTATATACAAGATCAAAATATGATCCTGTGAAAATTATTATAGACTTTCTATTTTATATATGTTGTTTTAAATGAGAATTACTTTGTCAATATATTATTGTTTGTTTTTATTTTATAGGTCATACTAATAGAATTCTTACCAAAATATCCCATATTCCGACCTGACTGAGGAGTTTTATTCAGTCACTTCTGTGTTACTTGTCATTTCCTACCCTTAGTGCCTTGTAGATGATTTTGGAATGAAGATGGTCTCCTTTGCTGTGTTCAACTTTCTCTTTATAATGGTAGAATATTCTCTTCACTTTTTATTTGAGTTGGTTTAATAAGAAATTTTGCACATCGTTTTTGGCTTTGTTTTTGTTAAATGATGCTTGTGTTTTGCACTCTCAATTTTTAAATGATTTCACAGAAACACCTATGTATATATAGAGAGATGCTACTAAAGATAAAACATCAGTGCTGGAGTTTAAAAAACAAAAATTTGTCCTGAGCATGCTGCCTTATAATACTTTTCATACTCACTGTTTCTAAATATGCATCACTTTTCTAGGCAACTAAATGCTCCCTATCTCTTACTGAACACACATAAATAAGCTTTTGTTAGCTTTTAGAAATGGTTCTACTTTTAGCTGCTTATAAAGGACATGCAATTAATAGCACTGGGTTTGTCCTGCACTTTGCTAAAATATCACTTGTTAGTGGATAAAATATTTAAACTCTTAAAGTCTTGTAAATATTGTCTCTTTGCATAATGCAAAATGTGATGTGCCATGGTTTACATAATGTAATATTATTCTTACTGTATTGCCAAAATTCTGCATAGATTTTAATATGAATGAAGTTTGTAAGCATCCTTTTGAATGTATAAATTGTTAACATGCTGTTTTATGGCAAAACCATAATAAGTATGTTAAAATTTTCAGGTGTAAGCATAGGGTTGCCCTTTGACAAGTGGATTAAAATTGAAGTTGTCTGAGATATTCTGCATTGCATCTGAAATCTAAGAACCTTATTTTTTTAATTTACTTCACTAGTTTCCATTTTCCTCTCCATTTCTACTTGGATAAGATTTTGACATCTTTCACAATGCCACTATTCTCACTTCCCTTTCTGTATCACTCATTTGAAAATATGCACAATTGTGACCTTTCAATCCTGGGGGGTATTTAAACTTCCCTGTCCCCCTGAAAGCCACTGTTAATCTCCTTGTGGATTTTCTGACATTCTACTTTGGAAAACAGAGAGGTAATTGAGAAATTGTACCTGAAGAATAAGAGAGTGGCTGATTTATATTTGTTTAATGTTCTTTATCCTCTCTTTTAGGATTTTTAAGACATGGATATAATAAGGAAAAACAAATAGACAAAAGTATTTTGCTTATAAATTCAACATACATGTAGCTTTTAATTAGTATTTGCATATTTCCCCATTTCTGTTCATAATTAAGATGAGTGAGAGCAGAACACTCATTCTTCTAGATTTTAAAATTTCAACATAATAGAAATTTATATTGTTAATTCAGCAGCAAATGTATGCTTGAGGCATTCTATGCCATTCATACTGCTAAAAATAACATTTAAATATTTAGTACAAGTTAGTTTTTATTTCTCAACATACTTATTATTTTTAGTTAACTTTTTAAAGTAAACTTCCAGCCCAGTGAAAAGAACAATCATTTCCTTAAACAAGATCAGGTTTTGTAAAGCCTCTTTTAAAATGTGTGGCTACTTATAAATTTACAGTCTCAGATTAGCAAAAGAGGATAAAAGGAATACTATTTTATATATGACAGTACGTACTTGCACAAACACTTTTCCACATCTTGTAGAACTCCATTACTCCCCTGCCACCCAACCCAAAATCTCTAACATTGAAATGTTGTGTGTGCCTACAAATATCATTTTGCTGCTCTGCTGCAAAATTGAAGGTGTATTTTTATAGACAAGGTGAAAACTGAAATACCAAATGTCTTGTTTTATAGCTATGGTCAGGGAAAAATTGTATTTCTGATATGTTTCAGCTAATTATCAGGATTTTATGCTTTAAATGGGCAGTTTAATACCAAAATTGGTTTCTAGCATAATATAAAATTTCAAATTGTCACTGATGAAAAATTATTACTTTTAAATGTCAACTGTGAATTCTCTTTTTTGCTGTAAACTCAAAATTTGACTATCCAGTAACCTTTTTCTGCAATGTGTGAATCATGCTTCATTTTTCTCAAAAACAACAAAAAATATTAAATTATTTCCATGAAACATACTAAGACAGGAATAGAATATATCTGGAGGTGTCAGTATATTTCAAGTTATAATGACATCTGTCATTTAAAAAAAACACTTGCCAATATCTGCAGACCTTATTTTTAAAACTACTTGAATTGCTCTTAAATTTCTTTTTTCATTACCCTATAATCCATCTTATTTTATTGAACTACTCAGAAAATATCCACATTCTTTCTCTTTTTCTTTTCCTTTCTTTTTTATTTTTGTTAACCTTTCTAATATTACTGCTTTTCAAACTGTTTTCCTTTGAACAGAGCTAATTAGCACCGGGCATTCTGGAATGCTCTTTGTAGTTTGTTTTCAAAGAAATTGGCAGCAGTGAATGTTGAAATGTCACAGTACACTGTTCTCATTAACTCCTCCCCAGTTGATCAAAACCCTTTTCTTTTATCCTCAAGATAGAACATACGTGGAGATTTCCATTTAGTTAAAAAGAATATTTGTGGAAGTTGGTTTTTAGGTTGAAGAAGATAATTTTTCATTTTCCCATTACATAATACTCCTTTGTGAAGCATGCTGTGTTAGTTTACACAGAAATAATGTTAAGCCAAAGTGTATATATATACATATATATATACATATATATATCTTACAAAGCTTTGAGATTACAAGTTGAAAACTGTTCTTTCTTTAACATTTCCTTATGTTTCTCCACTACCATTGCCCTTTAAACACCTAAGTCATGGATAAAATGAGATCATTTCTAACCTTTTCCTTTTATTTTTCCCCTTCTTTCCCTGTGTTAATTTAGGAAAGAGACAATTTAATAAAACATTAGAAGTAGGTGAAGAAGTGCCTTGTATTTTGAATCAAGATTACATTTTATGTTGAAGGAAACAGAAAAGATGAGCTAGTAGATCATTAGATGCAGACCATCCTTTTCAAATTTTACTACTGTACTTTATTTCTTCTGTTATTTAAAACCTGTTTCTTTGTTTTCCTTCAATCATGTGATATATTGATGACAAAATATTATAGAAAAGAACTGTCACACAAGCAAAACTAGTTTAATTCTAATGCTGGTAAATGTGTAATTTGACATAATTTAAAACTATAGTGGTCATTGATTAAATCTGCCCCAAACCCATGTAAATGTTTAATACACATATCCTTTGACCTAGAAAATTAATATCTGAACAATTAGTCTGTTAATATTTAACACAATATCATTTTAAATTAAGCATTTTTGTTTTGTTTAATTAATAATTTAATTAAACTTGCAGAACTTTTGTAAACCTTCGAACAAGTAAGGTTTTTAAAATTTAAAAAAGCTTTAAAATCATTAGCATTTTGTTTACAAATGATTGAAAATCATTACCATTTTATTTTGTTGACAAATAAACCTCCACATAAAAAAAATCAAACCTCCATACTTTAACAAAACCTAAACAATTTTTTTCATAATTGACTACATTGGTCTAGGCAGGTGTATAAATTATTATACCTGATTAAGTACAGTAACTTTACAAGTTGGAAATACTTTTTGTTAATTTGCTTATAATGTGCTCAAATTCATAGAAAGTAGGTCCTCTTATGCCTATAATATTTTTCTTTTAAAAGATCCTTTTTGCAACAGTTGTCAAATTGTTCAATTTTATTTATATGGTGAATTGTTGGGAAATTTTTTATAGAAAAGGAATAGGTTTTATTAATAATATCTATTCGTGTTTAATATGTGGGTATGTAATATGTACCCCAAATTTCCCATTCCTGATTCTGAGCCAGCTTTTTAATTTTAATGACGGCAACCTGAGAGTGTGTTCCATTCTGTGGACTTTTTCATATCTATAATATATGAGGATATGATCTAATACTGTAGGCTTCAGGCAAGATACATGTCAGTCCCTTCATCTTTAAAATTATGGGGTTGAATGTAAAGCTGGGAGAAAAGGTTAGAGGTCACCTAACATTCTGTGATTCTCAGAAACCTTAAAATCTTTTTTTACTCTACGGAATCTCAGAATCATTTTCCTTGATGGAAACTCTCACAGTGCCTTGCACAGGGTTTAAGTTTGATATGCCAACTGGCACCTACCTGGTATGTTTGTATCCCACAGGCTCAAAATATTGATTCTTACTAGATCTCAGCCCATTCATAGTGATAAAAATGAATGTAGTTTCCCTAGGAACTAAGGGCTGAGGCTGCTTTGCCTGTGTAGAATCTGTCTCTGCAGTTGGTATCAGGAAAGAATTATAAGTGTAAAAGCAAAGGATAGTATGGGAGGATCCATTTTGACATTGAGGTGAAAATAATATCATATCCTAATCAACATCAGCTTCAGCATCTAATCATATTTCATACCCTCAAAAAGGTCTGTTGGATCAAACTGAAATGGAAATGAAAGGGGTATGAAATTTAAACCCAAGTCGCTTCTAATTTAATTATTAGTTCTGCTGCTTAATTCCTCTGTACCTCATGTCTTCATTGTGGAAGTGGGGACAATAATCTGGACCTACCTCACAGGGGAATTGAGGATTTTTTCATATATTAATGTGCATTCAAAGTTGACTGAAAGATACAATGGATATCATAATTTTGTAATTCCTAGATAGATTCCTTCAAATCTATATAGTTATGTTTTCTATCGCAGAATAAGAAATTTCTTTTAAGAGTGAGTGTTTTTTCCCTTTTTTCAGTATAAATTTTGTTATTAATCCCCTGTGTGTTAAGCATGTATAATTGTGTTGTATTAATATTTGCATTAGGGAGGAAAAGCAGGTGGATGTAAACCAGTGGTTCCTAACTTGGGGCAGATCATGATAACAGTGAGGAAATCCATGAACCTTTTTCAGCATTTCAAAAAGTACCAGAAATCATACATTTAACCACAATATGCTGCCCAAGCCAATTAAGAATTTCTATGTATTTTACTTATATACACTTTTAATTCTGTTAACATCTTTATTACACATTGATCAGAAACTGTGATTGGTAATTATATACTTGATTTTAAAAGAGAGGAAATTGTATTATTATGTTCAGCTTATTAAGTCAAATACTTGAAAAAGTGTGAAGATACTAAGAAGGATCCTTATGATGAAACTGTTGGGAGTCACTTTTATAAAAGAACTAAGGCTTTATCCACAGCTTGCTTACCTGTTTCCTAAATAATGAAATACTGGAGAGATTGTGCGTATATCTGTGTCTCTGTATCTGTGTTTTAGCTGTATTGGGCTATAACTTAGGTTAGAATTTGCCTTCAATTTTCTTTTCTGTTTCAGAATAATATAACTAAGCTAATTATTTGTGTGTATATGTAAATTCATATGTGCACATAGAGTATTGGAAATGTAGAAAGTGGTATGTCATGTTCTAACATTGAAATAAATATCAATTTCTGAGTCTCAATGTAGTTCTGTGTGTAAACTCACCATAATGATTCAAGCAATCATTTTGCAGATGTTCATTTTATTTTATTTTATTTTATTTTATTGCTGTGCTGGGAATTGAGCACAGGTCTCAGAAGTGCAAGGCAGGCACTTTACCACTAAGCCACATCCCTTGCCCTCAGATGTTTTTTATTCTTGCTTTTCTTACTTGCTTTTATCTTGACTTGATTTCTTCACATTCTACTTTCAGGTAAGCAAATCATTTTTTGTTGCCTGGACATTAAAACAAGTTATGAAAGTTATAAATTATATAATCTACAAGCCAGTTTGCCATACTAAAACTAATCATGTACAAATTTGAGTTTTGGCTACAGAAATAGGAAATTTGTGGATCTAGAAAGTGATCCTTGATTAAAACATCACATTGAAAAGTTAAGAATTACTACTTTCTGTCAGAAAATTCCTGCTGGGATAGTTTTACCAGAAAAGAAAAGTTGGTGTGTCCATTCAAAATAAGAACTTTCAAGCATCTTATATTCTTACATAGTGTGTGGAATGAATTTATTTTTCTCCCTTGAATTAGAGAGTGACTCCCTTGGAAGAACTTAATCTATATGCAGCTGTGCCAACACGAAGGATACCTGCCTCTGTGAAACTTTCTCTGTTGCTTCTGTCATTGTTCACTTGTCAGAACTAAAAATTTCTCATCTCAGGATGCAAAATTCAATAAAGTGCAAATCTATGTTAATTCATTGTGTGTTCTTTGATGCATCACATTGTCGTTCTTTCCCTTTAATGTTTCTTCATCATTGTTAAGTAATTACTTAAGACATCCTTTCAAATAGTGTATTTTACATATTTCACTTCCCATACTTGTTAATGTTATGTCTGACCCTGGAAATAATTCATCTCACATATTAGCTTTAAGTCCTTTATTCTGCCCAATGTTTGGTATTTGACTAATTAGAAATTTGTTTCTAAACAATTTTGCATTTTCCCCGCATGCATACCTCTGGACTATAAATTAAAATGCAAAGGGATTACACTTTACTAAGCATACATTTTTATTCAAAAAATGTGAAATGTGAGTTTACTTGGCAAAATTTTTGATTCTTCACTCCTTGGTTGGCTGGTTTGGGGGCACACTCTGTGAAACTAAGAGGCAATTCCGCAAAGGGAACTCCAGCTCTGTGCTCAGGTGTTACACCTGGCTGTACTCAGGGGACCATGTGGTACCAGAGTTTGAAATAACTTGAGGCACTTATCAGTAAACTGCATGAGAAATTTGAGTGTAAGCCTCATCTATTTGACTTAGTACTCAAGCTTATTAACAAGAAATATTATTAAACCTTTAAATAACTTATTGCAGAACTTGTGAAAATTTAGCAAAGCAGCATAATGTACACTTAAAATTATTTAGTATCTTTGGTAATTATACTGAACATTTCAAAAGGAATTTAATCTTCAAAATGTTAAGCAGAGATTACAAACCTACAAAGAAGTTTCGTGTTTCTCTTTAAATTCTGATTTGAAAATATTTGCTCTGAAAAATCTATACTTTTCATTAACAAAGCCTTGCATATGCTGTCTGGGAAATAATTTGAAGTTACATTTTATGTTACTGAGGGTAGTAATATTGAACATTTCACAGGATACTTCTTTTAGTTAAATGTTGAAAATTTCCTGGTGAATACAAATATTTCCTTTCGTAAATCAGGGGATTTGGGAGGGACTGAGAAGGAGTACAGTAAAGTGCTTGCCTTGCACAAGCCAACCTAGGTTTGATCCT